CAGTCTCTGCAAATCAAAGTTTTAGTCTTTTGATTTTTCGGTGTGTTCGCCCATAAATTTGAATCTTCACAAATTTGAAATTGTTGAGGATGCATAGTGTATAGCTAATCTAACCAAGAGCACCAATAAATGATACTGGTCTAGGGTTAACAACCCTACGTCCAGTTTGGAGGACGGAGTCTTCCAAGAGAGCACTCACGAGTGTTTATCACTGGAGAATCCTATGACCCAATTACACCCAAGCTCACCCACTCGCGCACAAAATCAAATGAGAAACGAGAAATTTTGTTCCTGTTTCTGCACGTCAAATAAGCTGTGCAGCATCCACAATAACCAAAGAACACTCTCGGAGAAGTGTATCCATAAAGCCAAAGAAAAAATTAGGCTGACAACATCCCATAAACAAGACTGATGTGCCACTTGAAAGCCACACGGGGTTTTCTGCAAAAAAACAAGCTTGAGACTTAAATGCAAGAAAACAAGTTTTTCTATGGAACGGGCTCGAGACTCGAGTACCAGAAACATTCAGTTTTAAGCCAAATTAGTCAACAGGTATGTAGTATGAATGAACTAGTTGAAATATAATGAGATGTAGGAATCCAATGTGGCAAATAGGATTAAACATACAAGAAAACGGGTGAAAGACAACTATGAGTGGAATCTGTTGAGATTTTACATTTTGGTTGATCGGTGCTTTAAGAAATCTATGTCAGTTTAATGCTACATATGGCGGTAGTAGAAGCTTCTCTTTTGTTCAGAAATCTTTGATTTTTATGAACCTACTTAGTTCATTGAGATTTTATGATTGTATATTTTTCTTTGTTTTTATTGCTTGATGAAGGCTGGAGAAAAGCGGAAAGAGGAAGAAATGATAGAACTTGAGGGGCCACTAGGAAAGAGCGATGTTGTGAATGGTGAACTGGTTTCTCTCGAGAGGGAGTTATCAACCCTTCGCAAGAATGGGACTATTGATCCTTTTGGACTCTACTTGTATGGTCTTGTGCTCAAAGACAAAGGCAGCAAGAGTCTTGCTCTTACAGTTCTTGTAGAGTCTGTCAATAGCTACCCTTGGAACTGGAGTGCCTGGTCGGAGCTGCAGTCGTTATGCACTACAGTTGACGTCTTGAACAGCCTTAAGCTCAATAACCATTGGATGAAGGACTTTTTTCTCGCAAGTGCTTATCAAGAACTGAGGAAGCACAGTGAATCCTTAAAAAAGTATGAATATCTTAAGGGCACTTTTGTTTTCAGTAATTACATTCAGGCTCAAATTGCAAAGGCACAATACAATCTCCGGGAATTTGAACAAGTTGAAGCAATTTTTGAAGAACTTCTCAGGAATGACCCTTACCGAGTGGAAGACATGGACATGTATTCCAATGTGTTATATGCAAAGGAGTGCTACTCTGCACTAAGTTATCTTGCCCATAGAGTATTTATCACTGATAAATACAGGCCTGAATCTTGTTGTATTATCGGAAATTACTACAGCTTAAAAGGGCAGCATGAGAAGGCGGTTGTGTACTTTAGGAGGGCACTCAAATTAAACAGAAATTATTTGTCTGCTTGGACCCTTATGGGTCATGAATATGTTGAGATGAAAAACACCCCAGCTGCTATTGAGGCATATCGCCATGCTGTAGATATAAATCCATGTGATTATCGAGCTTGGTATGGATTGGGACAAGCTTATGAGATGATGAGTATGCCCTTGTATGCTCTTTATTACTTCAAGAAATCAGTATTCTTGCAGCCAAATGATTCTCGGTTGTGGATTGCCATGGCCAAGTGTTATGAAACTGAACAGCTCCACATGACTGAGGAATCGATGAAGTGTTACAAAAGGGCAGTTAATTGTAATGACAGGGAAGCGATTGCCCTGCACCAGTTAGCAAAGCTAAATTCTGAACTTGGACGTTCTGATGAGGCGGCTTATTACTACAAGAAGGATTTGGAGAGGATGGAAGCCGAAGACAGGGAAGGACCAAATATGGTAGAAACCCTTCTATATCTTGCTCAATACTATAGGCAGCAGAAAAGATTTGAAGAATCAGAGATCTATTGTACCCGTCTTCTAGATTATACTGGCCCAGTGAGTTGCAACTTCTCTTTCTCTATATATGCTTACGGAAATGTGACATTGAAATCTAATGAATTATGTGCAAACATTTCGAATCTACAGAAAGTAACTCTTAATTCGTTGTGCTTCACTGCAGGAAAAGGAAACAGCCAAAAGCTTACTTCGAGGAATGAGAATAGAACAAGCCGGTGGTCCTTCAATGGACGTTGAGCACTTTCCTCCATAATTTAGTCATGATGTATAAGGCAGATGCCTTCTCTATCAGATTCGGCACAACATCTTGCGAGAAGCTTGAAGTGGATCGGTCACATTTGAGAGCGTGTTTTTGTATTATCAATGTTAATTAGTTTGATTTCTGTAGAAAAAAAATTCAATTTTAATGCATTGCTGTAGTTTTCTTGAGTGTTTCTTTAATCTTCCGTTCGTTCTTTAATTTTCCGCACTTGGTTGCCTATCTGCGTATTATCGAACCAGGCACGAAGCAGGCTTTGATGTGCGAAAGCAAGATCAACATATGCAGTAATTTTCTCTCTGCCAATGACAAAACAATATAATCATCCAACCAATTGGTATACAGAAGGCAACATCCAGCTTATACGATGCTGGAAAGGCATCAAAGAAAACCAAATTCAAGTGCACAATGTCATTCACTCAGATTATTTCAAATGACTAAAAGCAATTAGAGTCTCAATCTCTGGCATTTTCTTCTCTTAACCGGTACTCAAATCAGTTCAGTTCTTGCTCGGGTCGGTGAAGAAAGCGTTGATGCCTGGCATAATTTCCGGTGCCTTGTTGCGGACGAATTTCCTCAGGAAATGCTCCTTGTACTTTTCTCCCTCGGCGTGATTGTCCAATACTCCAGCAGCTCTGTTCTCCTTGGTCACTCTGATTTAGAAAGAAAAAAAGAGATGGTATCACTATACGCTACAACAAACAACAACAACAAAGCCTTATCCCGCTAAGTGGGGACAGCTATATCCTAGAACGTTACTACGCTCGGTTTTGCGCCAAGTCTTATGCCACCATACGCTTGAAAGATTTCAAGAGCTTAACTCCAAATTGATCATGTTATATAACCACTTTTTGAGGGCTTGTTTGGTGTGAAGAATTGCATTGGATATCTCATAAAATTCAAAATGTGTTAAACGGTAGAGGCAAATGATTCTTCGTTTAGAGGTATTAGAAAAGATTAGAAATGAAGGAACCATATCCCTTCCAATCCTACCATTTTTGCGAAAATTGATGGGAACAAGTTTCATTCACTAGTAATCCATCTTCTACCTTAATAAATTTCCTTTTTTCTTCGTCCTTCCTACCACACCTTGAATATAATAAATAATCCAATTCACTCCAATCCTAAGCATCAAGCGAGCCCAAATATGTAAACGGGACCAATTCCCAATATCCATAATTAAACCCAAATATTTGGCGATAAAATTAAGGTTTTTTCGCATTGAAAATATTAATCTAATTTGATAAGTTATTGGCATAGAACAAAAATAAAACGGATTACAAATAGAACACGTAGATTAGCAACAATCTAATTCTAAAGCAATACGCGTTGCAGTCCAGATTTAGAGAGAGATACCTGACTTCAGGGTTGATGGTGATATGGCGGAACAGACTCAACCCGCAGATCCCTACGGCGACCCCTGTGGCAGCGAACAGTGGATAAACCTACATACACACACATACATACAATACGACGCCGGATTAAAAGCCCAACCAACAAAATCAAAGCCGATCTGGCACAAAAACGAAAGGAAAAGATCAAGTATCGGAGGTAGATCTGCGCTTACCTCGGGCCTCAGCCAGCGATTCGCAGCCATTGATCGAAACGCACCGTACAGAGATTGCCGGAGAGAGAGATGCGATGAGGGCTTGGGAATGCGAAAACAGGGACGAAGGAAGGAGCGAAGAGAGACGACCTGAGCCGCCACTTTTATCCCTCCTTTATATAATTTCTAATTGGAAGGGCTCGGTTTTGATTGGCTGTCTCGGGACTGGGGTGCCCCACTTGCACTCTCCCGTTCAGCAAATAAGATCGCGACACGTAATTCGGTTGAGCTTCCCGAGGTTTGACTTAAAAAGGTGTATGGCAAAAAGAAAAAAAGTAGGCGCCGTTGCCGGGGATCGAACCCGGGTCACCCGCGTGACAGGCGGGAATACTTACCACTATACTACAACGACTTATTGTTTTCTGATGCTATTAGTTTTTAATTAAAGGTTACTATCCACGCTCCCATACTTCTTTCACACACCTTCTCCATTTTCAGCTGTCAAATCGAATGAATTTAAGAAGATCAGTAGACAAAAATTAACAAGGGTGTATGAGAGGTACAAAGGAGGGGGTTGGATAACACCACCCGTAATTAATGGAACATAAAAAAGAAATTAAAGAATCTGCATTAAGGTTGTTCACATCATTGCACAGTTGCATCAAGTTTTTCTCATTCACAAGGCGTGGCTAATCAAGTTTACTTGGATTGAATAAGTCCATATTATCACTTGTATAGTTGGATTCCAAGTTTTTCTCGTTGACAAGGTGGAACTAGTCAGGTTTACTTGGCTTGAATAAGTCCATATAACCACTTGTATAGTTGGTTCCAAGTTTTTCTCGTTCACAAGGCAAAACAAATCAAGTTTACTTGGCTTGAATAAATCCATATTATCACTTGTATAGTTGAATTATAAGTTTTTCTCCTTCACAAGGCGAAACTAATAAGGTTTACTTGACTTGAATAAGTCCATATTACCACTTGTACAGTTCGATTTTTCTTTTGATACCAAACTAGGATAGTTGATAACGTGTACCTTTTGTAGCACAACCACGATTATTACGTGGATAATCGTGATTAAGATTTTGATCTCGTTTAGCGGCTAATGTCGGACGAGAACTCAGCTCTTCAACATACACATCTCTAAAACTCGCAGTCAAATCTTGTATTAGAACATGTTAATACATCATACGCGAACACACGTACAATACAATTACAACTAGTGGCCTACTAATACGACTACAATGCCACTGTTTTCCTCGGCCAAAATACAGCGCAACATACTCGAGCTCTTTTCATCAAGGAACGTGGACTCGGGGACACACTCCAGAAATGCTGTTTTCGAACAGAGGGAGGACTCGGGATAAATGATCCGACAATGGAAGTTCTACGGCCTCTAACTTCAATGCAGAAGCTTCTTCATTGTCAACTCCATCATGTACCTTCATATCAAAACCCAAGTGGTAGTATTAGAAAGTTCCATGTCGATATCCATGTCTTCCCCTTCGGTCACCATTCCAGACCTCAACTTGTCTACGGCTTCGGATCATGTTAATTCCTTTTGTCACGTATACGATCACGCCATGAACCTTGTTTCTTTGCAAGTACCTACAGAAATGGCAGCATCATTTCAGATATAATGTTCAGTCCGAAAAATAACCCACGGCAACATGTCGCTTAGCAACAAGCAATCTTCAACTTACCGTATCACTCAAGAGGACTGTAGTTGTAGGCTCACTTTCTTTGCTATCCTTTGTGTCGTTCTCTGCCTCAATTTCACTATCCATCACAATGGTCGGTCGATCATCTGATGCACCAAACATAGCCTCATCATGAGCAGATCTGAGCTGCTCCTCCCTTTTTGTCTACACGGTGACAGTCGAACGAGTAACGTCAGAAACCACGGAACTTTCGTCGTCTTTAACAAGCCAGAACTGGAACTCAAATGCGTAAATAGCGGGAAGATCGCAGATGGACATACCTCAACTGCAGAAAACCGGAAGCTTTGGCCAATGTGCTTAACTAGTGCTGCATCATCATCAGCAGCTACACAAAAAGGTAAACATGCGCAATCAGCTCACTTTGCTCCAATCAGACGGCCAAGATATATGCTGATTTACAACTTCAAAGCTACATAAATCAGTGTGGCAGGTTTATTAATTCTCATGTCAACGATGAGCAACATAATCACGACTTTCTTTCTGAATCTAACCTATGATGACTGATTGATCCAATGCTCTATATTTCTGATCTTGGATAATAATTACTATGCCATATATAAAAAACTAAATTACTTCGTAAGGCTATAGAGCAATCGGAGTTTTAGCCTGAAACGATAATCTCTTGTTACAAGTATGGCCGAGTAAGAAGATGTAGAGGCATTTACAGCTGCAAACATATCCAGGTTTTCTCACCAAAATATGAACATAAAGACGATTATCCAACTGATTGAGAAAACAGAAGTAATGCAAAGCGAAAAATTCAATCTTCACATTATAAAATACAGTGGTGGTTATAGATGTTTAACCTTCAACTTCTTCATCATCAAGTGGTGCATCTTTGTTGAACTCGAACCTTTCCCAACCCGAGCCCATCCCTTTCGCTGCATCCTTCTCAGCTGCATTTACGAACATACAATGTTATAATGCACAGCTCTAAGCAAACCCATATCTTAGAGATTAATTAACAAGAACACAGGATTATAATGCACTATAACATCGGATAGCTCACAAGTTTCGGCAAGTTGAAGCTTCATCTTCGCCTTCACTCTCTCGGCCGCGGACTGATCATATCAAAAGAACAGCTTGTTAATCGTACTTGAGAATCGAAATCCAAAATAACGCGTAATTAGCAATCATCAAGAATTTCACAAGTAAATTAGTAAACTTATTAAGAAATCACTGTTCCATTAGACTTGAGCTTGATTCCTGACAAATTTCAATTACCAAACTAATCATACCATCTTATCATAGCCTTCAATCAGCTTGGAATAATCAGCACCGCCGCCTTTCCTCTCCTTCCCCGATTTACCTTTGGTCCTCTCCGAAACCCTCTCCCTCGGCGACGAGCTCCGACTCCGGCTCCTCCCTCTCCGTCGTCTACCTCCATCGGAATCGCTCCCGGACCTACTCCTCTTCCTTCTCTCTCTAACCCTATCTCTTTCTCTATGTCTCTCTCTGCTCCTACTTCTCCGCCTCGAATGCCTCTCTCTGCTCCTGCTCCTGCTCCGCTTCCTCGAATGCTTATTATCTCTCTGCGAAACCCTAGCCGGTTGTTTCTCTTCTCTTTCCTCCGCCGCGTCGGGCCTCTTCCTCTTGAGCTTGTTCTGTATGGACTCGATTTGGGCCTGATTTCGGAGCTCCGACTCTTTCTTCGGGCTGGACGCCTTAACGAACTTACTGAGGAAGGAGGACGAGGTGGAGTACGCCAGCGCTGAGCCGCGCACAGGGGTATTTTCGGAATCCGAGTTTGCGGAGGAAAAGCCGAGGCCTTGTTTGAATCGGGCGGCTCCTTCGCCGCGCCGAGTCAGCTCGTCGTAGTACGCCGCCGCTTTTTCCTCCTCCATTTTTGCAACGCTTGCTGGTGCGACGGTTCGGGGGCGCTGGTTTCTTTTCTTTTTTTTTTCCAACCAAACGACGTCGCTTAACGCTGGTTTGCGCACCGGTTTAGGGCGCTTGTGTTCTTTTTGTGCTTGATGTATTAACGGGCCTAGTTTTTCTAACAGTTTGGGCTTTCTAGCCTTTCTTTTATTTGTTGCGACTAAACAATGTCGCAAGGCTGACTTCTCGAACCCATTTGAGAGATTTTTTAATGTGCCAGGAATACTGTCTTATACATTAAGTGGTATAACGTAATTGGTTGGAATTTTATTTTTTAACTTTTCAACTATTATATTATTACACTTAGTATACCAAACTGTGTTCCAGCACATTAAAAAAAATTCTCCCTAGCTAAAGCAAAGTTTGGCTTTTGGACTCCTCACCAATTACGTGTAATGTTGATGTGTCTTGTTTTACTCGTCTATCGTAGCAATATTGCTTGGAGAGCTTTTTTTTGTGTATCCGAAACACATGCTAATACACTATATTTTTCAGTGTCACTTCCTATTACTAGAGCGTCTCGTTGTTGTGAGTACCTTATTTACTGTGCATTGTGGTTTAGGTGGGTTAATTCTTTTAGGCTATGTTTGGATGAGGGCGTTGCAAGGAACGGGCCACAAAATATAAAATATAGTGAGTATCAAAAAGACATGTGAGAGGGATTTGTTAATCTCTCTTTCGTGTTTTTGTAATGCTCATAAAAAGCTTTCTTAATCCACTCTATATAACTTCTTATGATCTTTTTTTTTTAATTACTCGGCATCAAGGTATCGTTTGGTATGCAGACGGAATAGGACAGGACGGGACATAACGGAAAGGGAGCAAAGATGCCCTCGGATGGAAACAAGGAGGAAGAAGAAGGAGACGAAGATGTTATAATTTTGTGTTCCACGGATGTGGAACGAGTCGTTCCAGGGGAGAAAGGCGGAATGAAAATTCACCAAAAATTCGTCCCGTGGAACAGCATGTTCCATCCGTTTTAGGCGCATCAAATATGGGACAGAACGCATCGTCCCACGTACCAAACGATACCTTAGATCTTGAAAAAATTTCGGATGGGGATTCTCTTCCCTCTTTTTTTCCCTCCTCTTATCTCACACTTTCTTTATTTTCTTCTTTTTTTATCTAAGAGAATAAAATCATGAGCGTTCAAACAGAAAGAAAGAAAATGTGAAGAAAAAAACAGAGGAAGAGAATCCCTGTCCAAAATCCCCACCCGATAGTTTTAGGTTTTGTTTAGGACTTGGATTGTCTGCCCTCTTAGTGATGGTGCTCTTCCATGCCCTCCTATTTTGTGCGGTTACGGTTAAGCCACGTCAATATTTTATATTAATTTTTTAATAAAATAATAAGACAAAAAATAATAAAAATATAAAATATTGATGTGGCTTAACCGTGACCGCACAAAATAAGAGGGCATGGAAAAGCACCACAACTAGGAGGGCAGACAATCCAAGTCCTTTTGTTTAAATACGACAACAGTGTTGGTATCTTTCTAGATATGTGCTGCATCGTTTTTGAAAAGCACAAATATAAACAGTAAGAGGGATTGCAGATGATGACTCTGTTCCAACAGCTGTGACTGTGAATCCAAAAATCGACCAGCTGCAAGCCTGCAAGAATCAAGGTCCATCAACTGCTCAAATTCCAAAGCCTTTGAGCCCCGGAAATCAGATTTGTGGTATGTAGGAAGTTAAAATATCTCTCTCAATTATTTCAATTCTTAAAAAGGATAAATAATCGTAATTTATCATTAGTTATTATTATTAAAAATGTGATATTCACATACCATTTTTTATTTCTTCCACATCTTTTTGGTTTTCGACCGTTAGATCGGATGAATTAAAGAAGATCAACAGATAAAAATTAACAAAAAATATGTGAGAAGTAAAAGAAGTATGTAGATAGCAGACGTTTTATTATTATTTAAAGGAACTGCTCAAATTCCAAATCCCACCAAAGTGCCTGCCAAATCACTATTAAATCAGATTATTCATGCCATATATTATTATTTACTTATTTTATTTTATAAAACATAAAATAGAGTATTATTATTATTATTATTATTATTATTATTACTATTTGTTTGAGGTAGACCGGTAGAGTATTATTATAAAAACTATTAAAAACATTTGAAAATTTTGAGTTTTAAGGATAAAGACAATTAAAAGGTAAAGTGATTAGTACCAGAATTGATTTTTAATACAAAAATTTGATTTTTCGTTAAAGTAAAAAGTACTATAAACTTTTCGTTAAAATTTTCTATTATTAATTTAAGATTTGACTGTTCACGCAGATGGAGGTTGCTCAGAGAATCATGGACAGACAGATATAATCAATTTTTCTCTATAAATTTCCTCTACCAGAAAAAGTGGGCCCCACATCGATCACCTAAAAGATACCGTGTCCCTACCAAATATATAAATATATCTATACATATTTGGGATAAGTGACCCTTCAGCATAGATTTCTTCCCATATTTGATGCCGCCGGTGTGGGACTCTGCGATTTGGAACGAACGTCATCGAATCCTTCAATTTCCCATCAAAATACCCAAAAGAAAATCTAATTTAATTTATAAAGGTGGGTCGATCCAAAATGTAATTTAATATTTGACTCCAAGTTTCTTGAGATTTTGGTCAAAACTGTAAAAAATAAAATAAAAAAATAAAAAAGTTGGAGGCTTTTGAGTGGGAGATCAGAGGGTCTGGCTGTGTGTCTCAGATTAGCAGACTGAAATTATGATGATGAACAACGTTTCTTTCTTGTCCTTTACTTTTCTTGAGAATATGTATCTTCTGAAGGGATTTGGGTTTTTCCCTTTGTGACTCATTGATAGTGTGATCTGAGTGGTTGATGGATTAATACAATATAAATTAATTAATCGGTTTATATTAGATAAATATTTGCCTATCTAATAAAAGTGATAAAGTTTACAATTTTGCTACCTTTGAATTTACTTACAATATTCAGTTCAATTGCTGGATTTATTTCGTAGTGATAATTTTTGTATGGTTACATTTTAATGGTGTGTTTGGCCTTGAACTATGATTGAATTGTAGCTTTAGTCGCTTAATTAAAAATCTATTGGATTAAAAATCTGAATTCGACGTAATAGAGCATTGGTTATTCATGCCATCTCACAAGGTTGGTCACCGTCCTGGTGACTAATGTTCAACATTTTGTCAAATTCAAATTATTATAATTAATAATTTAGAGATTGACACTACAATTAAATCATAGATTAATATTCAGCGGCGAAAATCAATATTTATACAATTTAGTATAGATTTGATTCCTTCTATATAATAACTAACTATTTAGTCTACTAACGTAATCGAAGAAAACAATACACCAATTTACTCTATTAGTTAATAGGCCCCTTTCCTTTATGTATATCCATTGCAAGCACCAATGAACTTGGGAGCTGTTTGAGTACAAGTAAAATATCCCTTCTTTTCTGACCAAGTATTTTTAAGCACTACCAAGAGGAAAGGGACCTGGGGAGGATCCCTTTTCACCTAATCCACCTAGTTCGGGATCCGGATTATTAAAATTTGATTCAATAGTTACAAATAAGAAGCATCTTTAAAGTAATAATAATTACAACCGTTAAATCAAATTTTATAAATGCGAATCCCGGACTAGGTGGAAAGGGAAGAAAAAAATCAGAGTGCAACATTAGTGGTAAAAGTTCAAACTTTCATGAATTAAAAAGTAAAAAAAAAAACAGAGATTTAGAAAAAAAAATAAAGAACAATCAATAGGATCCTCCTCGAGAAACTCAGGTGTTAATCCAATATTTTAATGGATGACTATCTTATTTATTGGAAAGGAATCTTCTCTGGATCTCCTCCACATAATTCTACTGATAAAAAATTCAAGCATTTGAAATTTGATTCAACAATTAAAGTTATTATAACTTTTAGAGCAGACCCGTGTTTTTAACCTTTGGATCAGATTTCAAGGGTCCGGATTATTTAATGAGTATGATTAGATGAAGGGAATCTGGAGATGATCACTTTTCTTATTTATTGGCAAATTTACCCAGAACTGCAAAGGCATATCTTCTTTGATGCTTTTTTTTTTTTTTTTTTTAAATTAAATGGCCATATAATGTAGAGATCATGGTTAGATTTTTATTTATAGGAAAAGAACATCATTAAAGAGAGCTTACAACTGTTCTCAATACAATTAAAGAGAAGCATTCCGCGCAAATTTTGGAATATAAAATTCTCAACTATGACTCTATGAGTGCCTGAAACAATAAGGCATTGGTGAGCAAATGCATCAGCAACAAAATTCACTTTCTGAAAAAATATGATTCTATTTGATACTCGAAAATTTTGTAGCTAACCACCTGATGTCATCAATAATGGCAAGAAGGTTCCAAGGCACAACACATCAACCTTGGATAGCATGAATTGCAAGCCAAGATCATGGTTAGATGATCCAATAATATCCGTCAAATTTGAGAATTGCATATATATATATATATATAGAGAGAGAGAGAGAGAGAGAGAGAGAGAGAGAGAGAGAGAGAGAGAGAGAGAGAGAGAGAGAGAGATCTCATGGAGCTCTATATAGGTAAAATTTTCAAGAGGTCTTTTGATATGAGTCCAAAATAACTAAAATTTTGACATATTTCAAAAGTTAAAAATCACTAAAAATTGAACTTATTTCAAAAGTATGTCTATAAAATTGGACCTATTTCAAAATTTTCCAATTTTCAAACCACGGGTTTCATTCTTTTCAAAAGTACTTGATATATTGCATGATTAGACTACCGTACCAATTTTTTTTCTCACATGTGAGAGTTGGAAAAATGTGTTGGAATGAAAAAAAGTTGAATTGTATGGCATCTTATATCTTTTGGTTGGGGATGGTAGGGCAATTGATTGATTTAAGAGCATTGTCATATCCATTCAAGATATTGAGGAGATAACTCACACTTGTTTGACAGATTTAGGTTAGCAATACTTAGGGTTTGTTTGGAAAGTGTTTTCAAATGGTTGAAAGGGTTTTTAGCGAAAATATTTTTGGAACATAATCTTGGAAA